TTTACAGGATCGACAATGAATCAAACTATATAGGGTACCATTCAATTAAATTTTGAGTGGACCGTGAACTAATCAAACAAACAATTTGAATCGAATCAAATAACCTAGATTGTCGTGAATAGGGGGTGAAACAATTACAATCATTTTGATTTTTTTCCATGGAAAAGAAGATATTAATTATACAAGAAGAATTTGTATCATTTTTATTTTCAATATCATCCTTATTAATTATATAATGATACTTCGCTCGTGACATTTCTCTAAATGTCAGACAAGCAACACTTATAGATGTCACCATTAAATGTCACAATCTATATGCTATGCTGACACTTCACTAGCGACACTTCTCTAAATGTCAGACAAGCAACTAAGCTATTGTGACATTTAGTTATGTGACTAGCTTATATCACAAATACTTCTTTATTTTGACACTTTTTAGTTGACACTTCTCTATATGACAGTAAAACGTGTTTATTGTTGTGACAATTTAAGATGTCAACATTAAATGTCACAATATATATGCTATGCTGACACTTTGCTCATGACACTTCTCTAAATGTCAGATAAGCAACTAAGCTATTGTGACGTTTGGTTATGTGACCAACTTATGTCAGCAATACTTTAATATATTGACACTTTTTTAGTGACACTTTTCTAAATGACAGAAAAACGTCTTAATTGTCGTGACAATGGAAGATGTCAACGTTAAATGTCACAATATATATGCTATACTAACATTTCACTCGTGGCATTTCTCTAAATGTCAGACAAACAACTAAACTACTGTGACATTTAGTTATGTTACCAACTTATGTCACAAATACTTCTCTATTTTGACACTCTTTTAGTGACACTTTTCTAAATGACAGAAAAACATATTTATTACTATGACAATCGAAGATGTCAAAATCAAATATCACAATAAATATATTATATTGACACTTACCATAAATGTCACAAAAACCTTCAAAGTGAATGGTTTTACTGACATTTTTTGAAACTGTCTTTAAAAAAATGTCACTATAGCTGGTTTTTTTTTTTTTTTTTGTAGTGGCTATTGTTACGAATTCATGCTTAGTAAACACTTATAGATGAAGCAGATACAATTTCTACATATCATCCTACTTTTCCATCAGCCCGACAACATAAATGTGATATTAATCCATGAATTCAAGTGTAAAGTCCATATTAAAAACAATAGAAAATGGAAGATGCAATGTATGTAAGGTTGTGGAAAGAAGTTGTTCCAAAAACAAATTGAAATCTTGTATATAGTTATTCACAAGCAATCAACATTGCCATAGTATTTGACTTCTCTCATACAATTTGTCAATGATTAAAACAAGCTAAAGTATCATATTCCAATACTCTTTTTTGGAACAAATTGTTCCTTAGAAACTTTTACCATCAAATTTAAGTCACGATGAGTGGAAAAAACAAAATTATATCAACATAAATGGCATGTGATTCATCATTTGAGAAAAATATGAATTTATTATGTACTTCATTAGTGATGGTATGTTTGAGGCATTAGGCATTGAGTGTTCTATTTAATCAAAAGTTTAAAAATTGTTTAAAAGATTCGAGATTTGACAATTTAAACGGTCTTAAACTATTATCATATATAAATGTCAGCCCTTAAAATCCAATTTTTTAAAGATATACTTTATTTAATTAGTATTTAATAATTTATATATTTTTAATTATCATTCTTTTAGATGATTGTTGATCATAAAATTTGAACTCATTACAAGATGAATTTCACGCTACCATATTAGTATAATATGCTATTCCATTAAACTTTCAAACTACTATTTTAATGCATTATTATTTTAGCTCTTTTTGGATTTAATAAAAAAATAATTTAATAATATCGATATGAAGAAATACTTTTAAGAAATTTATGCTAATCATAAATAGTAAAATTTTCTTGATATAAAATATACATATATAGACAGTAATAAGTTAGGAAAACCCGGTCATCAAAAATGCATATGAGCTAATTATTATCAATGTCACAATTATCAAGTGAGCAAAAATTACTTTTGGATTCTTTAATAAACTATAGAAAATGTCAGAAAAATTTGAAATTATGAATGGATTAACTATCATGAAGTAATGAAAAATCAAATGAAACGTGTAGGTAGGGCTGGCAATTTGGTTCAGTACTGTTTGGTTTTACCCAAAGCCGTACCGTATAATTCGGACCGAGATCGGACTGGGACCGGATAGCAAACAATCAAATCTCATATTCGGGCTTAGATTTGAGGTAAAAAAATCCGGATAAGAGACCCCAACACTCAAATCCCCACAAGCTCAATATAAAATCAAAATCAAATTGGAACCGGACCGGGTCAAGACCGGACCGGATCAAGACCGGAGTGTATCCAATCCAATCTTTGGTCCTTATATTCTTAAAAAGATCAGACTAGAACCGGATCAATTTGGTCCAATTTAACTGGACCGGACCGTATAGCCACCCTACGTAGGGTAAAAGCTAGTTTTTTTAACAAAACTTATTTAAATAGAATTTTTAAGAGAAGACTAAAAGGAAACAAAAATTCCCCAAACCGGTGTTAGCATCGAAACATTGAGTAGGGCTGTAACTGTGGCCCTTACTACCCGTCAGCCCAGCCTAGCTCGGCCCAACCCTATGGGTTGGGTAGGGTCAATCAGTCTTTAGGGCCAAAATAGAGCCAGGTCACATTTTGACCCAAGAGGGTAGGGTATTTTTTGGTTTTACCCTTAAAACCCATTCATGCCGATTTTGACCCTAAAATCCATTTCAGCCCCATCTTCTTTCCGCTAACATCTCCTGATCGCCATCATCGACCCATTTCAGCCCCATCTTCTTTCCGCTAACATCTCCTGATCACCATCATCAACCCAGCACCTCCGCTGCATCTCCTTCATCCTCTGCGTCGGTTTGGCACTCGGGTTCGCCCTCCGCCGCCGCCGCCGCCCTCTTCTGCCCCCCGCCGCAGCAGCTTCCCTTCCTCGTTCTTGCTCCCCGTCGTCTCCCCGGCGCGGTTGACATCGCACGACGTGTCGTCGAAGGAGAAGCGCCTGGAGGAGTAGCAGAAGCTCTCCGTTTCGTCGACGACGCCGTCTTCTCTTTCCTCCTCCTCCTTCTCGTCTCAGGGGCGACCACTGCGCTGGGTTTTTTCACATCCGCAGGAGATTGATGGGTGTGGAGGGAAAATAGACCCAGCTCTGAATCGGATCCCAGCTTCTCTGCTCCCCAAACCCAGGTTCGACTCACTTTTTGTGTCTTAGCGTCCTTCTCCTGCTTCAATCACAAACATGGGTTCTCTAAACTCGATTACTGACCGGAAAATTCCCCAATTAGTGAAGACGAGGGAGAGCAGAGCATAGTTAGCAGCTGTCAAAATTTGTCGTTGTCTCTCTTTCTTGTATTGCTGATCAACTTATTGAACATGATAAGTTATTTCTATTGATCAGAAATGACTCTGTTAGTATTTCTATTTTGGTTCCTGTCATTAACACGAACATTTCTTTCCATTGGTTTGAGATGATTTCTCTCAGGCATTTTACAATAGCTAAATGATTGTCACTTGGAATAGATAATCATCTCTCTTATCATTCTGATGCCTCCAGGGATAAGTCTAACAGAGGAGCAGATTTGGGTTATGTCTTTCATGAATTGGTTTGGATTTGGTATTGGCAGCAAATGTTGTTCATGGGTTTGATTTAATATGCTAGTAGCTCCAGTCTTTGGGTATCTTGTCCAATTGGTTTTCTGTTTTCACGTCTTCAGCACGCTGTTAGAGACAGAATGTAACTGTTGTGCTTAGAGATTTTCACTTTGGTATCAGTATCCATTGCTGTCAATCTTCACTTGGGGCATATTTGATTACCAACTGATCTCCATTCTGCAGCAACAGTATTCCTCCTTTCATAACTAATCTCCATTATGCAGCAGCAGTATCACAGCAGAATCATCGTACTACTATAGGCATTGGAATCATGCTTAGTCGATGTACTTGTTATCATCCCTACTCATACTAGACATTACAATATTCAGCATGTTCTGATTCTCCCCTATATCTTCGTCTCCATATTTTATCCTGAAATACTCTAACTCTGCCTCTAAATCTTGCACTTCCTTCTCCCTTTCAGCCAGGAGATCATTTGTTTTCTCCAGCTCCACGCCATCATATTCAGCTTGCTCTTCCATCATTCGTAGCTTGCAGTTCCTTCTGAATTTATCTTAGCCTTCTCAAGTCTAGTGCTGGGGGCTTCTTAGGCGATTTGATCAAGTGGAACTTTGAGAAGTTCTTGGTGGACAAGAACGGTAAGGTTGTCGAACGATATCCACCAACAACATCGCCTTTCCAAATCGAGGTACTTGTTATGGATTATTGGTGCAGAGTTTTCAAGCTAATTAGTATTTGATAATTGTGCAGGTAATCCTGACGCCTAATCATCTGGTGATTAGTGGTGTTAAATGCTTAACATGAAGAGATATGCTTAGTGGTGTTAAATGATGCATATTTTATAATTATGGATGACTTTAGTATTTTGATTTTGCATGTGCATATGAGATAATATTACCAAGCTGATATTGGTCCTACACCGGGCCCACCTTGAACCTTTTAGGGTCTTTTTTGCGAAGAACGAGTGAGTCATGCCGATGGGTTATGCCCACGGGAGACCACTTGTCTTCACAGCCCATCCCTTGTAATTAGATCAATTACCCAACTACAACCACATGCATTTGATTGTTCGTCATGGGACCATAGCATTGACCACCTTTTAGGTTAGATCCAGCCATGACTAGATAGATGGTTTTATTTTTCGAAACATTGTTTTGCATGCATCTATGTTATGTACGACAATGTATATGAAATGTATCATCATTTGAATATTGTAGTTTAAGACAACCCAACAAGTGGAATAACAATTAAAAAAAATCCAGATAAAATACAAAAATCCACACATGGTGTAACTAGAAATAATAAGTAATTGAGGCTTAGTCCCATGTGGATTTCAGGTTTATAACCACTCTTTATATTTGTGTGATTTTTAGATTTGAAATTATGGACGAAGCAACTAGTAACAATCCCATGGCTAGCTCTACCGGCACACCTTCCGAACGAGTTCTGCCAACGAATGTTAGTGAGAGTGAAGAAGGTGCATTTGGAACTTCAGATGTGTGGCCACACTTTACAAGAATGAATTGGTCGGATAAGCCAAATAGATTTGCTGGTTGCAAATACTGTCCAAAGCAATTGAAGTGTGCATCTACTTCTGGGACTAGTAGTTTGAGAAGACATTTGCAAAGATGTAGAGTATACCCGTATAGTGATGTTAACTTGAAGAGTAATAGAACTCCTAGCGTTCAGGCAACTGGTGTTCAGGGTAATGAAAAATCAAATGAAACGTGTAGGGTAAAAGCTAGTTTTTTTAACAAAACTTATTTAAATAGTATTTTTAAGAGAAGACTGAAAGGAAACAAAAATTCCCCAACCGGTGTTAGCATCGAAACATTTATCTCTGTTCGGCCTAGGCCTGGAATAGCACAAGAGATTTAAAAGTTAAAAGAACCGGCCCACCTTCGAACGGCGGTGCTTAGGGAGACTTGAGTCCGGTTCCTAATCTTTTTGGGCTGCCCTGGCCCCTGAGCCCGTCTTTAGATCCGAACATCCGAATCAAAGATTCTCAGCCGGAGACCCTTGAATTCCTCCCGGAAATACTGCCGTCTGTTTCCCCGCTATTCCGAGTTCGATAGGGAGGGTGAGATTCCGTCTGTTCCTGTGGATTTCAACTCGAAGCATCGCACTGCGGCTGCGCGATTCCATTCCGACGAAAGCAAGCTTAAGTCGAGAATCACGTTCGTACTTAACTAATTACTTACTTCTTTTGGGAAGAATTTTGATCCAGATAGAAGAAAACCCTAAACCTAGAAACCTTCCATCCATGACATCGCGGAAGAAAGAGGCCGAGGGAATTGCTTTGCTGTCTGTGTACAGCGACGAAGACGACGAGGAAATGGAAGAACCTGGCGAACAGGGAGACGGAGAAGCAGAGATGCGACGGCGGCAGCAACAACAACAACAGCAATTAGAAGGCAGCGACGATAGGGAATCGAATTACATGGAAGAAGATTCGGCGAACGACGCGATGGTTACTGATGAGTACGGCAATGGAGCTACCCCGCCGGTGGGCGAACATAATGCATCTCCGAAGGAGGTGGCGCTGCAGCAGGTTCAGGTTTCGTTCTCTTCGTCTTCCCGTCAGCAGTTGCAGGACGGACGAGCGGTTAGTTCGAAGAGAAGTGGGAGGGGGAGGCTTACGATAGTAGACTATGGGCATGATGAAGTTGCAATGTCTCCTGAGCCCGAAGACGGTGAAATTGGTAAGCGTTTTCATCTTTGGTGCCTTTACTCTGATTTACAGCTTTTCAGTATCATTTTCTGTTACTTTCCGTTGCCTGTGTTTTTGCTTTTATTCATTTGGTGCCTGCTGGAATTGGCAGCTCAATGGCTTCAGTGTTGTGTTAGGGTCAATTTTGGTGTGTGTTCGAAAATTCAGAACGCTGAAATGTGGATGAATATAAAATCTCTAACAGCTCTGCTGTCACATAAGTCTTTCCTGAATGGTAATGATTTAGAAATTTGCAGAGTTGAAATTTGCAAAGGGCGTTAATCAGGTGTAACCTGACGGCTGACACTGGGGTTTGGGAGCAAGATTCATAAGGTCTATCTTTTTAGTGCGTTCTTTTCTTGAGCTGTTCCTGGGGGGCAATGTTGGTCAGTTATAATTAGTATATTGCTGCAAGACGACCGTCAATTTTTTTTTGCAATAATCTGATGCCATTTGGTGATTTCTATTTTGTGCATTGCAGATGCAGGTAGAGAAGAGATGATTCCAGGGCCAAGTCAGCCATTTGGCTCCGAGGCTTCACAGCCAACTGATCACTCGGAAGCACCCCAGTCAGATGATACGAACAATAGCTCCGCTGAATTGGAAGCTGTCAAGGTTGAGGACTCTACTGGACTTACTGAGGGGAAGGCGGATCCATTGGATAAATTTCTACCGCCACTACCTAAAGAGAAGTGCCCATCAGAGTTGCAAGTAAGTCACTCCTTGCTGTCCATTTTGAATCCCTTTTATATAGCTACATACTGTATTGTGTATCCAGACTTAGTTCCAACCTTGGTTTTTCTGTTATTGAAACAACAATAGGCAAACTTTGATTTTATTTAATCTTTTTGATTCCCGGATATGATTCTTTAGCAGGCAATCTGATTTACGCATATCATATTCAGCTATATTTTCTTTCTACTAATTTTGTTTTTCTCTGCGGTGCTTTGGTGTTGCTATGCTACTTGCAGAATCGAATAACAAAGTTCATCACTTTGAAGAAAATTGGCAGAAGCTTCAATGCAGAGGTCCGTAATAGAAAGGATTATAGGAACCCTGACTTCTTGCTGGATGCTGTTAGATATCAGGATATTGACCAGATAGGAACTTGCTTGAGTAAAGATGTATTTGACCCCCATGGATATGATAAAAGCGACTTCTATGATGAAATAGGTAATCAGTTGTTCCTTTATCTGTATTTCCAAAGATGCACATTTGCTTTAGGTTATGTTGCTTGTGATATTGCTTGATATGAGGTTTACACGGGAGCACGTTGTAAGCTTTGTTGGTTACGCTGTGCCTTTCCTTGTTATGTATACTGTTGTACTTGAATCCTTCACCTGCACCTGCACCTGCACCTGCACCTGCACCATATACAGTTATCTACTACTTGAACCTAAGTTGGTGACTATGTATAACACTGCAGCATTTCATGTATTTGTCAAGCAGAGGTTGATTTGAGGCGAGATAAAGAAAGGAGGGAGCAGGAATTGAAGAAGAGCCCAAAGGTTGAATTTGCACCAGGAGGAACTCAACCAGGAATTGTGGTGCCTCCTTCAAGATTCAGCATGGCTATTCCAGGTATGATGGAGTCTTAAGTAACAAGTTGATTATAGTTGATGTTTGATTTTGTAGTATTTTAATACTTGATACTTTGGTGGCTATCTCACAGTTGCTGCCAGTGGATTGCCACCAGCACCAGAACCAGTTTCACGAAATGGTAGGCAAAACAAGAAGTCAAAATGGGATAAGGTTTTGTTCTTCTCCGCATCTCTCTGCATCTTTTCTGTTTTCGTCCACCCGCTTATTTGTGTAGGCAGCTATTCTGAACGTTGCTTTTCAGGTGGATGGTGATGGAAGGAATTCTCTCTCAGGTGGTGGGCAAGATTCTTTAGCTACAGCAGCTGCTGCTCATGCCGTGTCTTCTGCTAATGCTGGTTCTGGTCCTTCTGGATATCCAGCTTTTGTGTAAGTATTTCGTGCCATTTGTGTAAGTATCCATGCTGAACTTTACTTGATCTCTAACTGCTGCACTTTTAGTCGTTTGAGTGAACACGAGTCCTGTTGGTTGTTAATGTAAAAGCTGTATATGTCCTCCAGACAGGAGGAGCCTTGATTTGACCAACGGTTGACATTATCTCTTGTATGCAGTCAGCAGAAACGGCGGGAGGCAGAAGAGAGAAGATCCGGGGAGCGTAAGAGCGACCGAAGGTCGTGATTATTTTCCGGTGAAGTATGTGGTTCAAGTATATGCATATACACAAGTGGCTTGAGTTGGTGGGAAATAAGAATTTCACTGAACTGCAAAGCCGGAAAGCATACTTGAAAATGTAACATGTCTCTTGTCAAGGGATGCAACGGATCAGAACTGATATTACTCTACCCATATTCCGAAAAAAATTCCCAAAATGAACTAGTTCTTAAAAAAAATTTCCAAAATACATTAGTTGTGAAAATACGTATGCTTCAGCATCACCGCGGTTGTACAAGACAGTGAAGATAATCACCGCTAGGGATGGCAATGAGGCGGGTTTGCCTAAACCATCCCCATCCTCATCCCCGCTTTCAAATATCCAAACCCATACCCGCCCCATACCCATGTGGGGAAGATTTTGCAAACCCATCCCCATACCCGTGGGTTACGGGTACCCATGGGTAATACCCGCCCCGTACATCCAACATTATAATACATAAAATTTTACATGTAAATTTGCAATTATAACATTAAAGGCACCTATTATATCATGAAGTCGAGAAAGTGATAATAATTCTTTTATGGTTCAAAGCATCCTAAAATTTTCCTTAATCCATAAAATAGAGTACTACAATGTAATCCAAATCATTATTTATCTGACTCCAATACATACACTAAGCAATAATGAACTAATATAATCTTGCTAACATGAGGGAAAAGTGAAAGAGTGAAGAGAGAGTTGAGGAAAATGAATTAGGTTTTAATTTGGGTGACCACTCAATTGCATTTCTACTAATTATATTTTTTATTTACCCTCACTATCATTAATAGATTACTATTTCATCCATGTATTTTTTATATGTGAACAAATATTCTTGGTGAGGCGGGTATGAGTATGGGTATGGGGCGGGGGAGGCTAAAACCATACCCGCCCCATACCCATCAAACATTTTGCGGGTTTTACCCATACCCGCCCCATACCCAGTCAAAGCGGGGATTCCCCGCGTTGACTGGGTCGGGGGCGGTCGGATACCTGTGGGCATGGGTTTGATTGCCATCCCTAATCACCGTTTTTGACAATAACGGTGAAGCTATTACCGCTTTAAAGAAAAGCAGGGAAACAATCACCGCCGCAGAAGAAAACGGTGAATGCATCACCGTCTTTGTCCAAAACAGTGATGCCAACCACCGCCGTGGTCAATAACGGTGAACATATCACCATTGTTGTCCAAAACATTGATTGTTTAACACGTTTTCCAAACCTAGTAGGCAGAAATTAGGTCACAACGACCTACCTTTCACTGTTGTAGGCGACGACGATGATATGTTCACCGCTGCTGTCCATTGTGATGATTAGTGGTTGATTTTCCATATAAAAGTCCCTCCTCACACGTACATTGCCTCAATATTCTGCCCCATTCAACCATTTTTTTTTGTTGCAAAAATCACTTCTCAGCCTGCTTTCAACAATTACGGTTATAGCAACAAAATATTTTTGGTATGTTACAATTCTGTATTGTTTAGATTTTAATGTTTTAATGATTATATGTCTGTATTTAATGAATTGCGGTTAGTCGCAAATATGTTGTGTTAGAGATATTTAGATTAATTATGGTATACTGATGTTATTTAGATGAATTTGTTTAATATACTCATATGCTTAATTATGGTCCATGTTTCGATTAGTTAGTTGCGGTTGTTTATGGTTTTGGATGATATTATTTTCGTAGCCCTAAAAATATGGTTTTGGATAATGTTTGTGTAGCCCAAAACTACTTAAACGTGTTATAAATTGCAGACATGGGTAAATTTAAGAAGTTTAAACTTATTATTCGGTGGAATGGTCGGGTGACAAACTCTGACTTTGGGATCGATTATGAAGATGGTGAATCCACTATGCTGAAAATTGAGTCGAGATTCACGTGGCAAGAACTTCGTTACATTTATGCAGACAAGATTTGTATGGGCGGACAGACGAAAGTTAGAAAAATTACTTACCGGTGTCTAAACATGAGTGCTGGCGGAGTTATGTACGAAGAAGTTGTCATAAATGATGATGACGCGGTTACCATGATGATATAGTTTCTATCTGACAATAGGATGCGAATTGCAGTGGTGTATGTCGAGACCGAGGCGGTGGGTGAAACTCATTCTCACCGGTATTCTTATGATGATGATTTTGCAGGAGGGTACGGATGGGGTGATAGTTCAAGCAACTACGGAGGAGGTAGTTCTGCAGGAGGTGTGGCATGAGAAGAATACCCACAACATGCTCAGTCTGCCCCATCTGTTGAGGCTGACGACGTTCAATGGTCTGTTTGGGACCCAGAGTGGCTTGACATTGAGAACACCCTTCGAACTGGGCGTACTTTGCATGAGCGAGAAGACGATGTTGGTGATGCAGGTCACGATGATCCTACTGGGCCGAGCTATCCATTCGCCTCCAGCGATGAGGAAAGTGATGAAGATTTGAGATCAGTCAGTGAGGAGGAAAATACAGGCGATATCGACGAAGACGAGGTGGCGTTCTGTGAGGCACCAACGTCATACTACACAGAGGTTCCATCTCAATTTTTATATAGTCAGAATGATGCCCCTGACTTTCTCTCTATGCCAATGTATAATCCGACTGCCAATTTAGAGGTGGGTATTCCGTTCACTTCGAAAGACAATGTTCAAGATGCTTTTAGAGAATAAGCCATGCGACGCAATTTTGAGTGGAAGGTAAAATATTCTAACACCAAAAAACTACATGTCATGTGCAAGAATGCTGGAGAGGGTTGTATGTGGCAACTGCGGGCTGCAAATATGAAAAGAAAGGGTGCTTGGGTCATTGTAAAAGTAGAGAACAACCACAGCTGCTCCTCATCCATACTTTTCCAGGATCACCACCAACTTAAAGCAAAGAAAGTGGCAAGAACCATTAAGCACTTGATCGAGGCACAACCAGATATCAAGATCAAAGCTATCATGGCCGAGGTGAAGGATCGACATTCCTACACGATCAGGTATAAGAAGGCATGACATGAGAAGCAGAAGGCCATGACTGAGATCTATTGTGATTGGGATGACTCGTATGCTTTACTCCCTAGACTAATGGCAGCAATGGAAGAGTTCAACCCTGGGACTGTCTTCGTGCAGTGGTACAACAATGTACAAACTAGAGATAAAGTTTGAGTACAGAATGAGTTGATGTTTCTCAGTCTATTTTGGGCATTCAAGCTATGCATTGACGGGTTTGCCTTCTGCATTCCAATGATCCATCATCCATGTATATTACGTACTACTTATTGTTGTACTAGTTCATTTTTTAACTAAGTATTATTTATAATAATTAAAATTATTTTCAACAGGTTGATGGAACTTTCCTTACTAGGAAGTACATAGGAACTCTTCTCATTGCCACTAGCGTTGATGGGAATTTAAATATTTTCCCCCTGGCATTTGCATTAGTTGAAGGGGAGAACAACTTAAGTAGGGCATGGTTCTTTGAACATCTATACGACCACGTCACACAGCGTCAGGGTATTACGATTACATCCGATCGACATGTCGGGATTAGGAACGCTGTGGGAGGTTTTCCCGATGAATGGGGATGGACATGGCGTTGGTGTATTCGACACTTTTTTGTCAATTTATAGCACAAATTTGGAAAGAATAAAGACATAAGAGATCAATTGTGGAGTGTAGGTACTAATTTAATTTTGTGCGAGTTCATTGGTTGTTGTTCAAATAAAATTAGTCATGTCTTAATTGTTTATTTTTTGTCACCTTTAAGGGGTTGCATATCAACCAAAAAAGTACGAGCAGAAGATGAAGAAGATTTGTCAGATTCACCGGGTGGGGACAGTATGGGCTGAAGGTCAGCATTTGTACATGTGGACATTCCATATGGACAACGGGGCTAGATTCGGCATTTCAACCTCCAACCATGGCGAAAGCATAAATGGAGTATACAAGGCCGTTAGGGCAATGGCTGTTTCTGTCATAATGGAGATGACATACCGGAGGGTAAACAAGTGGTTTGTTAAGAGACTTCAGGCAGCTATAAGGAGGGAGCATGCTGGTCATGCGATAGCACATCATGTCTTTCATCAAATGCACAAGAACGAAGAAAATCAAGTAAGCATAAAGTTGTTCTTTTCAACTGCAATGAAGGTATTTTTGCTGCCGAGACATGTATATGGGGTGGAGGAAGACGTGAGCACAATCATCAATCTGTTACTTTACACCTAGAAAGTTGCATCGTGGAGTGTACATGCCAAAAGTATCAAAACACAAGAATACCCTGTTCACTATGGAGAAATTTAAATTCACTAAAATTACAAAAGGTAAGATAACCTAACAGTAAAGCTGCTGCGACAGTGAAGGCTTGGGAGTTGCAGATCCCAAGTTCGAATCCAAGCGAGGTCTGTAGGTGTTCCCAGAGGTACAAGTCTGGTACGGGCAAAGCCCCGTTGACGTCGAATTTGATTGCAGGTGGCCACCAGATTTAGTAGGACCCGCTGTCACAAAGTGGCACGTGGGGCTGAGGTTCCTAGGTAATAGAAAAATTGCCTACTTGGAATAAATCTAATGTAAATTAATCTTACTTGACACCATAGAGGCCATTTGCTACATCTCGTAGCTCCTCATTTGGCAACCAAATTTCTCGCGGGTCTCGAGGTGCGAACATCGGAAGATGCTCACATGCGCAGAGCTAGAGTATGAACATCGCACCACCAGCCTGTTTCTCCACCAAACTCGAGCAAGTACACAGCTTTCGGTATATTCCAGCTAATACAGCCGACCCCCAACTCTTTCTCTCGATCTCGTCCCAGTCACCGAGTAGCCACGAAAACCACATGCCTTGTATCCACTGGTTTGCCTTGACGGGGAGCAAAATTCCACCGACCAAGACAATGAGGTAGACGCGTGCATACCGCTCCACTTGATCTTTGGGGGTGTTTGGGCCTAAAACAACCTCTGCTCGGATGTGTTCAACAAGCCACGAGATTGATACTTGCCCGCATTAAGCGGTGGATGCCCAACCCCTTAGACAAGCATTGTGGTCAGCATGTCGAACCCTAAACGCTGGAGAATCAACGGCCCCCAGCCATCTTCAGGTTTACCAGAGTGGCCGATGATGGCATCTCCAGTGACCGACAGCCCGATGAGGATGACAACGTCTCTGAGGGTGATCGTCATTTCCCCCTCGGGAAAGTGGAAGGTATGTGTCTCCGAGTGCCATCGCTCTGCCATTGCCGTCAGCAGATCTTTGTCCATATCAAGTAGCATGAAGTGCCTCAACATGTCAAATCCCGTCCTCTCTAGATAGGGCAAGAGTCGAGCATGCCAAGGGGGCAATCGTGTTGTCCCTTGATGACTGATGGGAATAAGTGATTCCTACAAAAACAAAAAAACAAAAAACATGATGTTGTTAGTCAAAGGAAAGCAAAATAAAAACTTTTAATATAATGAAATAATTTACAAATTTATACGGTACGGAGTTTCTACCGGATTGTTGTCTTGTTCTTACTTGGTTAAATACCTCTTATCCCTTGGGCCAAGATCGATATACAATCGAGGGTCGTATATCTCAGCACCCATCTATAAAAAAAATTGAATGAATCAAAAAAATTCGAACCCATCTAAAAAGAAATCACAAAAGAAAAAAACATTACGTACTCTCAGAGCCTCTTCGTCCATTTTTTGGCGAAAACTGGAGAGAGTATCGACGGAAATGGAGTAATTTTTTCTTATATGGAAGATCGGACTTAGCCGCAACCATAGAGCATACTTGGAACGAAACTAGAGTGACGAAATGGAGGGAGAAAGAAGTATCAAATGGTGGTGTGGTTTGGAATGAGGAGGAGGGGTGGTATTTATAAGGGAAGGTGAACAAGCCGCTTTTCTCGAAGAGGGGGAAGTGCGCGCGGATCGCTGACGTGGGACACTGTTAGACGTCGAATCTGGGAGAAAATTCAAAATTCGCGCCTCTCCTGATCCAACAGCAATGGTGATGGGCGCGGGGAGACGCAGATCGCTGACGTGAACAGTGGGGCTATCCCCGCTTTTGTCAACAACGGTGAATGGCCCTCGCTAGTCCACGTCAGCGATCCGTATCTCCCACCCCTTCATTGTGGCCGTCCGATGCGGTGATGCTATCCCTGTTTTAGACTATTGCGGTGTTGTTTTCCCCGCTTTGTTCTACAATGGTGAATTCTTCACTATTGTTGAGAAAAACAGTTAATATTTCACCGTTTATTGTCGAAGGCGGTGAGTGTAATCACTGTCAAGGAAAACCTCGGTGATGCTGAAACATACGTACTTTGTGAATTATTTTCATAACTAATGTATTTTGGGAATTTTTTTAATAACTAGTGCATTTTGGAAATTTTTCCTCACACTCCATCCAAAGTAGTTTGGGTATTACGCTCAATAGCGAACAAGGAATTGGTTCAGTGGTAATATCATTGATCTAGAATCTGGAGGTTTCAAATTCTACTCATTTATGTAGCACCTAATTGTATATCACTCTTATTAAAAAAAATTATGCCCTATATTTTTTTGGATGGACGCGGTAGTTAATCACTTTTGTAAAAAAATTATTGTTATTGCCAATTCATCAATTACAAAGTTTGCTGCCGATTCGACGAACCCAAAATGCTGTGAGCACGTGAATTACAAGAATAATAGTAAATTTTATAGGGTTAAAGACACATTTGGTCACTGAGATTACAAAATCGGGACATGTTTAGTCACTAGAAAAAGTTAATATCAAATTTGGTCACTACAATTACTAAAACTGGACGCATTTAGTCACTCGCCGTTAGTCTCCGCCCAACTTACTCCCACCTTTAGCAAAACATCTTCTCCTCGGCAAAGGCTCACACCCACGAAGAATCAACTTCTGGGCAAGGCTCCAATCATCAGGGCAAGAACCAAAAACCTTGTAGTTCATGTACTGCGACAGCAAATCGGTCGATCTCTCGCAGGAATGGCCTACAGAAGCCACCATCTCTATGATCCCAGTTCTTGAATCTTTCCCCAGAGGAAGTTGGTGATGCTGGAGATACAATTTGAGCTCACTAGAAATATTGGGTCTTGAGATGTCGATGGTGTCATAACCTAGAAGCTCCTTCTCCATCTTGGCGAGCTTTTTCTGGGATGAACCGATCTCTCGTAGGATTAAGGAGACATGCTCGGAGATCAAGGAGATGTTCTTGTGAGGATTGAGATTGTGGGCGTGGAGGTGGATGGGGGAGTAATTGAAGGCGTAGAGAGCGAAGAGATTTGTAGTGAGCACTGAAAGGATCATGAGAAGGTTTACCTCCGATGTGCAAAGCGTTGCCCGCTCGAATCTGGCGGTGCTGTCGCTGATTTTCAGCGACACTGATCCCATCTCTCTTTGTTGTGTCTCTCCCCTTCTTTTTTGCTGCTTGAGTGTAAAGATTGGAGCTTTGGGAGTGAGTGAGTGAGTGGAAGGAGGAGAGCGGCGGCGGCGGTGGTTTTGGGGAAAGAAGGAGGTGGGAGGAAGGAGGAAGAAGGGTTGGGTGGGGTTGGGTCATGGGTTGGGTTGGTTTTAATGACGTGGCGGGTTATAATGATGTGGCGGGTCGGGTATTATTTTTGTTAGGTTATATCCGGCTGATTAGGCAATTCTGTTTGCCACATCAGCACTTAACGGACTTCATTAACAGAGTTGGACGGAGACTAACGGCGAGTGACTAAATGCGTCCAGTTTTAGTAATTGTAGTGACCAAATTTGATATTAACTTTTTCTAGTGACTAAACATGTCCCGATTTTGTAATCTCAGTGACCAAATGTATCTTTAACCCAAATTTTATATGTACTTTGTTATTCAGTTGTAAGTAGCCTACTTGGTGAAAGATTAGAAACGTTGGAGATTGGTACTTTGTAGGGATGTCAAAACAATTTCGGGTTTTTGGTTTAACCGGAACCCGAACCGATAGCAAGTGTCTTCGGTTTCGGGTTTTCGGTTTCAACCCAAAAATGTGACATAGCGGTTTCGGTTCACTTGAACCTGAAAAACCGACAGAGAACCCAAAAATGTGACATAGCAAGCTGTATTTGGCTCTCAGCTTCTCAGTTTGCCCCTTACAATGACGTTTTGAGTTTTGTTTGCAGGCATCCTTCGCGGCTTCACCTCTTCACCAACCCTACCCTGTAGGCTGCGGCGCAGTTAGAGACTCAGAGCTTCGCCAAAATCTACCCTGCAACTCTCCGCCACCCCTTCGCCTGCAACTCATCCGTTCATTCAAGATCGAAGCTTTCCCAGGGACGACGCTCGTGCATCTGGGTAATGAAACCCTTCTCCGATTTGGTTTTAGAGTTTCCCTGGCTTCGTGGAAGATAGATAATTAGTTTTACACTGTACCATTCGGGTAAAGATAGATAATTAAATGATGTTGGAGGTATAATTGAATGGCCAAGAGCCCAAGAGGAATCAGTCAAAAACAAAAATGGCCAAGAGGAATACGCATACACTGCCGCAAACTTTGCAATCGGGTTTAGGTTTGCTATACCCGATAGGGACGTTTTTGGGTTTCGGTTACGCGAAAACCGAAATCCTCCTTGTCGGATTTGGGTTGTGAAGGTTGTGGCTTTTGGGTTTCGGGTTACTCGACCTGAACCGAACTGACTACTTTAACTTTGGCAATGCGTCCGAATCTACTCAGCCAGTTAATTTGTGTGTATACTTTTATAATTACAAGCATGGCATTTGGTCATTATATACAATCCCGGCCCAGGCCCTGTGCTGGCCTGACCTACAGCACATGGCCTCAAGATTAATGGGGGCTTCATCAACCCAGCCCAGCCCAGCCCATACAACATATGTATATATTAAAAAAAAATATAAACCGGGAAAAGGAAAAGCCATCGTCTTCCACTCTTCCTTCTCTGCCCAGCGGCCTCTCAACTCCCCTCTCCCAAAATCAAATTGCAGACACAGCAATCAATTTCACAACTCCCCAAAACTAATTAACGTTCAACTAATTAACTCCTAAGAAGTTCTCACCTTCTCAAACCTTCATCTAATGACTAATTAAAATTAAGTAATCAACAATCCAACATTCAATTCTTCTAATCAACGTTCACTAATCAGCTCAATCCCTTCATTAAATAGTCGGCCAAGAAAAAAAGGAGAAGCAGCCGAAATGAAACCCAAGTCTCCCATCTTCTAGTTCCAATTCTCCCCTGATTGATTCCCTCCAAATCTCCATTCTCCATGTAATACCCAAGTATTTTAGATTTAGGTTCGACCTTAATACGTGATCGATTGGATTGACGGTTACGTACTAAGAGTTACAACCCTGGATTAAGAATAATAATATTATAACATTAGAATAATAATATTATTATATTATTCTTAAAAAAAATTATATATATACATACCTAGAGGGCCGAGCGGCCCTCTCTATTATTCCCAACCCCCCACCCATTATGATTTTGTGCGGCACATCAAAATTTCCCCATCAGTAGAAAAAACCATCCCATGGCCCTCTCCAACTTTATTTCCCTAGTGTTTTAAACTGTCGCCGTCCCTGCTTCTCATCGCGGACGCGGGAGCGGGCGAGAGGAAAAGAAGAAGGAGTCGCAGCCGATCCCAATTCCAATCTCGATCCCGATCCTGACCCCATCCCTTTTGTTCTAGGTAAGGATCACGAACCTCTTCGCGATTTCTAAACTCGATTTATCGATAGTCTAATCCGAAGCTCGCATTTTATTAGCAGTGACGTTTGAGGGTTCGATCAACAAGGAGATCAACGTCGCGGGTCATCCAACCTAGGCCTAGGCACGTTCTAGAGGTAAGGGAACTGGATCCCTTTGAAGATGTATTACTATTTTTAGAAATTGTTCGAATATTTGTTTTAATTAAATAAAAACCTTTCCGAGGGTTTTTTAAGGGTTGATAATTTTCCAGTGTATAGGGGCTCATGATTGACAGGGGAAAATTATTATCCAAAATTTTAAGAAGGTTCTAGTTAGGTGGAAAATTCGTCCAAGATTAAAATAATTAAGAAAAATGGTCGTTTTTTAAGGGATTAATTCTAGAAATTTTTAGTGGGGGTTAAAGGACCTTTGGAGTGAGGATTGAGGATGGGACTTTGAGTAGATGGTGTCTGGGTAGATAAAATGGAGTCTTTTAAATCGAGGAAGGGTGTCTTAGAATATGATTTTCTTATTAATAGGTTTCCTGGGATAATCCGCCTAAAGAGGGAAAGAAGGCGAGAAAGTTAGCAGCTGATCGAACTTCGTAGTTTCGCGTGATGAAGAGGTTCACACCGATTAGTAGGAGGGGAAGAGCCGTGTCTATTAGAGGCGGAAGGAAGGTCGAGAAGTGGACATCGGTGATCGCAACTGGCGGGGGTAAAGTGATGGAGAGGCCCTGACCCTATCCTCCTAGACGAACCGAAGTGTCGGCAGTTCAAAGTTGGCCGCCGAATTGTGGCCCGAGGAGGGACCTTGAAGAGAATGGCGGCGGAGCTCCAATGGTTAGGGTCGTTGAAGAGGAAGACGATGACCCGATAGAGGAGGAGCCAAAAGAGGAAAAACGCGCGGGGCTTGAGCGGGAGAATGAAGACGTTGATGCGAATAAAGAGGTGAGTGTAAAGGGGGTAAAATCTTTGTCGTAGGTCTTTTAGTTTCCGCTTTTCGTTCATGTTATTATTTAGTTAATTTTCTAGTATACGCGATATGTGTGTGAGGCATCCCACCGCCTGTAAGGGTGGAGGCACGCGTTGTGCTATGTATGAATGTATGTATGTTTGTATGGTTGATGGTATGAGGAAACCCCAGGCAGTTGGGCCACTACTGGACGCGGTAGATGGTCGGGTCACTGCTGGACGGCGAGACGTAACGCAGCAGTTGATCGAGTATATTGGGGTCACTACTGGACGGCGAGACGTAACGCAGTAGTGACGGGCATGGACTGGACGGCGAGACGTAATGCAGTGCCATTGCCTAGTTTGGGTATGCAACCGGACGGCGAGACATAACGCGGTTGGCATACTAGGGTAGGACACCGGACGGCGAGACGTAGCGCGGTGGTCCTAGTGTTTTGTGTTTGAGTTAAGGATAAGAGTTGAGAACCTCTATGAGTTAAAGTTGAAAGGAGTTATTAAGAACCTAAGTAAGGGAATTCTAAATATAAGACAGGAGTAGAGATCTCTTATAGACTGTTTGATAGTAAAGTTTAAAGGATGAAAGTGAGAACGACTTTCGTCTAAGGAAGGCTTTCCCCTAATAATGTGTTTAGTAAGAAGTTTCCTAGGGAAGGGACCTTAGGAAGTAACGACAAGACTGACCCCTTCTCACTCACCAGGTCGAGGAAGGGTTAGCAGAGGCGGACTGCAAGAAGAGGCAAAGAACTCGTTAAAAGTCAAAGCTAGAATAGTTTAATTTCTTTGTTACATGGTTAGAAGTGTAAACTGGAGATCCCGAGTTCTTTCATTTTAAGTATTGGGATTGTCATTTGCCCAAGTGTTCAGTCTTTTTGTTTGAAATTCTTAAACATTGTCGGTTTATTTATTTTAAAAAGTTGTTTGGGTTGCTCCGGAGTAACCGGTTTGTGGTTTGAGTTGTGGTTTTGTTTTCGGAAAAGATCGGGTCGTGTCACTCCATACCGACAGAAGCTGAGAAGCAGCACGACAACATAGTTTGCCACCAGGCGCCGCCCCTGTTTCCTACTTACCACACCCTCAAATCTCAATTCCTTGTCCGTGCTGGCGCCGCTGTTACGGCTCTCCGTCTCCGCTGTCTCCGATCCGCCGCTTTGTAAGTTCTCCTCTCATCTCTCTTTGTTCAGCTGTTCAATCGTGTACATTTTATTTGTCGATACTTTTAAGTCGAAACAAGAGAAGGCGGATGGAAGATTGGAGTTCGAATGATTATTTGGGCTCAATGGCCACAGTCCATAAGAGTTTGTCATTTAAAAGCCTAAGTTCATTTTATTATATCAAATAGATATAGATATAGTTAATGTACCTGTATGATAGTCGATGGTGTTTGTCTGAAGTGGTACCATCGAAAAAGCCATCCCAATGTCCCAGCCAGTGGGCAAGCGTGGCTCATCTGGGTCCTCCTCAATCCTGGTTATTTTTTGATCAGCGGTTATGTGCACTCTTAACTCTCCTGCAACGATCTTTGGATTCTCTCTTGCTGGTATTGCTTCAACCGAATCAAACCGATAAAGGTTCCCGACTTGTATTTTGTGAGAAATCTCGGTGATGTCTTTTTCATCAACCATTGACTCGATTAGTCGTGCCTATAAGATAAGCAGTTAAACGGTTCCAAATTATGCATTATAGCAGTTTAAAATTGTTGACGAAGAGATTATCTAATTCTGTAACTGAAATGGAAAAAAACCTTTTTATCTATCCAGATCATGTGCATGCTCAGATTTTTAAGCTTA